GCACCTTGTCAGGTCTCAGTTACGAATTAATAAGCAAGGGAGAGATGCCAATGAGGAAAACAAATTCTAAGAAACCCTTTGAAATACCTGACGAAGATTCAGATTGGAGAACTGCATTCTTCTCTGCACTGTTGAACTCTAATCAGCTACTCTCAGAGTGTGGCCCATGGGCCAGAGGACCCCCAAGACCCGCTGAGGGAGTCTGTGTGCTCAAAATTATTTTTATACTGATACTAAGGTGTTCCTTGCCTTTTTCATGGTGGCACATGCAATGCCAGCACAGATGCAGTGAAGGTAGAGCCACAGGTTCCTCTGCACAGATGGATCAAGGCAGTGGCACCAAATTCTATTGCTCGCCCCTGTGTTCTCCATGGTCAGTGCTCACTGTAGCAAAGGACAGTTTCCCTAAGAATGTCCTTGACGAAGCAGGATTTATTAATTTTTTTTAAGTCTTTGACTACGGAATATGCAACTTGTTGATATTCTGTGCAAGGGAATGGGAAGGACACGTGACATTCTCTACAGACCCAGGTCCAGCAGCTGCCCAGAGGAAGGGCCCACTATACCCGAGCTGGCTTAACTGTTGTTTTCCATGGACATCTTTTTTTTTTTTTTTTAAATCTGAAAGAACAATGGACCAACATCTGATTATTCAGACTTGGGTATTTAGCAGGTATTTTCCTAAAAATGAACAAAACAAATTTGTCACTTCAAAGAAACCAATGCATAGTATTTGCTTTCAGTGACCAAATTCGAACTTTCAAGTGAAAATTAGGATTCTGGAGAACTCGTACCTGTTGTGGAGCCCAATCCCAGCCTAATACTCAAAGCCTTCTCTGATAAGGCAGGCGGTGACATTCGCAACTGTGGTTTTTAATATTGTCTAGTGAAATGTGCCAACATTTGGAATATCTGCATAATTCAGTGGATTAATATTTTCCACATGACCAAATGGCCGTGTTACAGAGTCACATGTCGACAGTAGAGCTATTCAAAGTGCTAGAGAGACCAGTGAGTTTTAGTCGAACAGCACGAAATGTTCACTAATGTGGTGTCACATCTCACTCTGCAATGAACCTTCTAGGAACATCCACGTCAGTGTGGGTGGAGAATCTACATAAATGCTCCTCCATTTTTTTATTGCACATCTTGGCAAGGCCAAATTTCTTCACACACGTCACAACAGACTGAACACAGACACAGATACGAGAACCCAGCTATCTTCCAATAAGTTAGACATTAAACAGATTCCCCCAAATGTGAAACAAGTCCACTATCTTCACTAATTTTTTTAAATAATAATTTTTCATAAAATTTGTTATTTATGCCATGGCTGGTTTGGCTCAGTTGATTGGAGCGCTGTCCCATAAACTGAAAGATTGAGAGCTTGATTCCCAGTCAGAGCATACGCCTAGGTTGGCGAGTTCAGTCCCTGGTTGAGGTATGTGCGAGAGGCAACTGACTGATGTTTTCCTCCCTTCCCCTCTCTCTAAAATCGATAAGCACGTCCTCAGGTGAGGATTAAAAAAAAAGTTAGTTATGTTGCCATAGAACAACATGGAATAGGTTTTTTATTGTAATTTTAAATAAATTAATACAGATCTTTAAAGACAATTTCTCAGTTTTAATGTGTAATATCGTATGCTTTTGTTAACCCAAAGCCAGCTGTGAAATGTGATGTGGTAGTCTCTGGAGCGTCGGGGTGCAAAGGGACTCATTTCAACTGCTCGGGGAGAAGTTAAGTCTAAACTTCCCAATTCTTCATATTCTGGAAATTCCTTATCTTATAAATTTAATCAGAGTATTTCGGAAGGTAGAGGGGGAGAGAAAACGGCTAAGGAAAATGAACCTTGTGGTGGAGAGAGAGCCCTCACCTCATGCCTCCCATGCAGAGCCAGTTTGGCACAATTTGCAAGCTCTTCCCAGTACTCCTGACTCATACCTCTGTTCTTCACGGTTTCCTTTGAGCTGATTGTAACATCTTAGCAGTTCCTGCAGTCGATGAATGAGTTCAACGAGATATCTGCCACATGCTGATTGCATGTACAAGATTCATGATTCTGTCTTTGGTCAACATGATTTTCTATCACTGAGCCCCGAATCCAGCTGTGGTTGCCATTTCCCAGCTGCATGTTGCAGCGATTCTTCAGGGGAAAGTGTGACCAGTGGGGCAATGTCTCCTACCCTAATCTTTTCAGGGACTTCACTGTAGAAATTGGTCCCAAGAAAACAGAGGTTTAGGAATGAAGAATGGTGGGCCCTCTTCACCCTGACCTGAGCTCCATGGGCTCTTCTCAGCTAGGGCACTTACTGTGCGCGCTGGGTGTTTTCTATAAGAGGCTCATTTCCTCTTCTGTATAATCCCAAGAGATGTACCATTGCTCCCGCTAAAGGTGGATGACACTTGATCTCAGGGAGGGGAACCAGCCTCATTCAAATTCTCGTGGTAGGTTGCAAAGCCAGACCTCCATCCAAGACTTTCGAACAAAAGCCCAGGGCTCTTTAGATAGCCTCACAATGGTCTCCTTTGCACAGAAAAAGAAAATGGGCAGCATGTGGGACAGTCCCCAGTAATCCTCTCATAGTGTTCATGTCTTTGTGGGGTCTCTGCCCTTGCATGTGGGCAGAATCTGTGGCTTGCTTCTAACCAACAGAGTAGGCAAGGTGATGGAATGCCACTTCTGGGATTACTTCATGTAAGTTTGTAACTCTGTCTTCCTATCAGGCTCCAGTCTTTGGTGGCTGTGATAAAGCAAGCTGCCATGTCATGAGCTCCTCTATAGAAAGATCCCTGTGGCAAGAAACTGAACATAACCTTCAGTCAACAGCCAGCAAGAAGCCGAGGCCTTCAGTCCATCTGCCTCCATGCCCTGGATTGTAAACTCTGCCAGACAGGGTCCAAGTCTTACTTTTACGTAAATCTTCAGGGTTGCACAAACACCATAAAGCCACAGGCAGAGTCTGTGTGGCCCTACAGAACTGAGTTTTCCAGCCTGGGACAGGCTCACTGGCACCTTAGCTGAGTTCTTTTGGCCTTTCCCTGTGGTTTTTCTCAAAAGGGTTCCACCTATCTGACTGCCAAACTTATGTGCCCATCTCCCCCACCTCCCAGTGAGACGCTGGCTATAATCTGAGTATCTATGAACACTTATATGTGGCTGTTTATTTCACACACCCAAATATGGTTCTTGGGAAAATAGTAACAACTCTAGAAAAGGAATTGGAAAGAGAATATGCTAGCTACATACAAATGTTCCTTTTTGTTAAGAAACCACCTGGTATGCTATGAATAGAGGAAAAGGCCACACGCTTACCTAATTTTGATTTTTTTTTTTCCTAAAGAGGGCCTCCCAAATGTGTGAGCCTCAGGGCCATGAAACCTGGAGGTGATTACTGATAGTGCTTCAAGCCTTTTCTCTTTTTTTCTGGAGATGGCCCCGTGAAAGGATGGCAAGGCAGATCAGGAGGGCAGAGAGAGGCAAAGAGGCCAGATCTGGTGGTGGGCCGGCGCAACCTGGGCCCACCCTGCCTTGTGACTTACTTACACAACGCTACAGGGTGACGCCATACACGTATGTCTTCCCAGTTTCAAAGTCCCTGCTGCCTCACTTACTGGGAACCAGATCAGGGCAGGGACCAGGGTGAGGTGAGTGAGACCACTGCGATCTCATTGAAGGGTGAGACCAGCACAGTCACCCAGGCTCCCGTCCTCGGAAGGGCCCACACTTGGTGGGCATTTCCATTTTGCACCGGGCCCTGCGCATGACATAGCAGCTCTGATTCACTGAGTTTTTGGTATCACCTCCATTTTTCCACCCCGGCCAGAGGCTCACTGGCCTTCCCCTATTCAGGCCCTGATAGTACTCGCTGGAAAACGCAGTTCTGCAGCGCCACGCCGACTCTGCCTCATGTGAGTTCATGGGTTTATGCAGCCTAAAGATTCATGAGGGATGTCTTCCCGGGCTCTTCATGACAGACCGACCCCAGGCACCCTCCGGCCACACGTCCCCATCCTGGCGAGCCTGCCGAGCGTCACTTCTCCGAGCCGTGTATCAACTCCGTACAGCAAACCCGCCCGGGTTTGTTCCTGCAAAAATGGCCAGTCGGACAAACCCCGTGCCTCTGTACCAGGGCAGGTGATGCCTTCCCTTAACGTCTTGGAGAGCAAGGCCACCGGCGGGACCCGCGGGTTGGCTGCGACAATCTGAAAGTCCATCTTGAAATACAGACCACACTTGCCCTGTCCCACCAAGGGAGGCCACTTCATCTGCAAATACGGCCTGCGCTGGTCACCTGGGGAACACGTATACTGAAGGCAAAGCGCCGGACCAGAAAGGCGTGCCTGCAGCGGTACCCGGGGCCAGGTCAGTCGCTGGGCAGAGGCCGTGGCGCCCCCGGCTTCGGGCACGCGTGTGCACCCGCTGCGTGGTCCCAGCCCGCGCCCACCAGTAAGAAGGCGGGGACTGCCGCCGGCCTGCACACAAAGGGGGCGCGCGCAAGCTCGGCGGACTCGGCGCGGGACACCAGAGCGGCCCGGCCTCCAAAGGTTCTGAGGGCAGCCGGGGTCCACCCAGGCCCACCTGCTGCAGGACGCGCGGAGTGAGGTCGGCACCTCCTCCCACCCCGTTCCGCCCACCCGAGCCCGCTCCACAAATCTTCCCTGGCCGCGGGAGAGCGAGCGGAGGGGGCGTGGCGCGCACCCAGGTCACGCCTTCAGCTGCATAGTCGGGAGGCGGGAAGCTCGGCCAGCTGGGGGCGGGGCCTGGCTCGGGCGCGAGGCGGGGGCGGGGCCGACCACCGCCCGCCCCCGCCTCGCTCTCCACCCCCGGAACTCAGGCCACGCCCCGCGCCGCTGCGGCGCAGGGGCGGGGCGGGGCCCGGTCCCGGCTGGCCCCGCCCCGCCTCTGAATATTGATGCTGCGCGCGTCGGCGTCGCCCTCCTCCCATTGAGCGAGGCTGTGTCGCGTGGCCCAGCGTCGGCGTGACGGTTGGACGCGGGCGCGGCACTGCGGGTCCCGATTGCTGCAGCCGCTTGTCAGTGTGATGAAGATTGGCACCCAGGTAAGCTGTCACTCAACGGCTCCGCCGCCGCCGCCGCTCCGCCGCCCCGTCCCTATCAATCACGCCGGCCCGCCGGCGCCGCGGCCGCCGCCCCGTTGCCACCGCCTGGGTCTCCGTGGTCCGCCGCCGCCCGGGAGGGCCGCGACGGATCCGCCGCCCGGGGCAGGGGGCGGGAAGGGGGCGCGAGTGGGGGAGGGGAGCCAAGGCCGCGGGGAGGGGCGCTGTCTGCCGGGCAGCCGCGGGGGCGCGCCCAGCTTGTTTCTCAGTGTGGGTTTACGGACGCGGAAATTTCTGGAAGGCTCTGCCGCCGCCGCTGCCGCTGTGCGGGGCCCGCTGTGAGGCGCGCTCTCCTAACCGTCCCTTACGGAGCGCGGCGCGCGCCCCTGCGCGGGCGGGGGCGGGGCGGGTGTGGGGGACGCGCGGGCGGGGGCGGGGCCGAGCCAGGGGCGCGCGGGCGGGGCCGGCGTGAGGGGCGCGGGGGCGCGCGGAGGCGGGGCCAGCTTGAGGGCCGTTTGGGGCCCGCGGTTGGTTCCGCGGCCGTGGGGTCTTCTCCGCGGGTCGCGAGGCGGGAAGATGGCGGGTGCGGCTCCGGCTGCAGGACGGGTGCGTCCGGCCAACACCCTTGCCTCGTGCGGTGCGCGTCCCGCTGGCCGTACGGGGGTCGGCGGGGTGGAGCGGGGTCCGAAGGAGCCCCAGAGGTGTGGACTTGAGAGGGAGCCGGGCGGCACGCTAAAGGCCTGTTTCGGGCTGTGTGCCTCGGCCAGGGTGCCTGTTTCGGTAGCGGAGGTATCGCTTGTATTAAAAGGCCGATTGGAAGTAGTGTTTAGAAGTGTCGGACATGGTCGGGCGCTCGCCGGAATTTCACATTTCTTTAGAAAGAAATGAGTCACTTCAGAAAAATTAGGAAAAGTTGAGCCTGCTTTACTTCACCCTGGTGGCTCTGGAAGTGCCCTGTTGTTAAGTGGTTCTGCCACACCAGCGAGGGTCTCCCTCGCGAGCTGTGACCCCCAAATACTTCTGAGATGTGGGGCTAGCATCGGAATCCGTGGTGGAGGGCGGAAGGCGGACAGTTGGTTTGGGGGAGCGGGGCGGGGGAGCTGTCCATCACCACGTGTGCGTTTGGTGAGCTTGACCGCAGCCCTGCAACCATCCCGAATGCATCTGACGGGCCCGGGGTATAACTTAATAACCTAGGTTGTAAGAGTTAGCTTTCTGTAAAAGCTACTGGTTTTTCCTTAGGAAGGGAGCACTTCCCACTTTAGGGTAAAGGAAACCCGCAGCTTTACTTGGGTATAACTTGGTTTTTTTTCCTGACATATCAAAAAAGGAAATATTTTGTAGATTCAATATGTTTATACACTACATCATGTTTTAGTAAGTTGCGGAGTATTTCACAATATATTGTAAGTATTCCGAGAGAGAGTTGAAGGGAAAATGTTCGCTGGTAGTTACTGGTGATGCACACACATCTGGCACATGGATTTGGAAGATGGCAGAGTGACTCACATCTCTCTGCCTTTCGTCGCTTTTTCCTTAGTTGGCGGAGTGGAGAGCGGCATGTGCACCGTCCAGGTGCAGCGCTTGGCTGAGCGCACCGCGAGCCGTGGGGCTGCTGCCCGACCGGTGCTTCCTCACCCGCCCGCCCGCCGCGGAGGCCTGGGCGGGGCGCGGGGCGCGGGGCGGCGTGGGAGTCGGGGCGCCGAGGTCGCGACCCAGGGCCGACAGGTCCGTCCTGTGCTCGCGATGGGGGTGCCCGCTGGGTGCATGGCTCGGCGAGCAAGCGAGCGGGGTGCAGGCCTGAGTGCTGGTTCCCACCCCTAGATCCCTGTTTACATCTGTGTCTGTTTACGTTTGTGTCGGTGTGTAACCGTAGAAAAGAACGACAGGAGCAGTAACACTGTGGCTGTAACTTTCATTTTTGTTGCAAATCGTTAGGCATTTTGAAACAGTTTAGACGAAAACCCTGAAACTGCTGCTGACGCAAACCATCTGCCCTGAAGGGCCCTTTCGTGTGTCCCACTTGGCCTCCGGGCTCTCCACAAGATGTTTTAGATAGAAGAGGATCAAGAAGGGAACCCGGTATACTGAAATACAGTTAGCGGAGAACTGAGCCAGACTGGTGATAAAGTTTCTCACGTGCCCTTTGTTAGCTGAATTAGTAACAGACTGCGTGCTGGCTCGAGTAATTCCTTTGCAGTGGCGATAAGCATAACCGACAATTTGAGATTTTCTGAAGCAGCTGTAATGCTTTGGGAAGATATGCATGGATTCTGTTGGTGACAAAGCTGCAGGTACTGCTGACACTCTGGGACTTAATGTCTAACCTCGTAACTGAGTGAGGACTAGATTTCAGCCAGAGGTTATTGCAAATAAAGATGTGATATTTTTCCTTACTAGGCTCACAGACATCAAGTTCAGAACTTCTGCCTCAGAAGTCAGTTTGCCCTCAGCCCATCCGTTAGTAGGAATACGTGTGCGCCCTTCTTTCCTTCCTCAGATGATTGTACTGGCAGCAGTGGGGCGAGGAAATAAAAGCGGAGCCGAGGAGAACCCAGCAGTCTGGGGTCATCAGGGCGAGGGGCGGGGAGCTGCAGGAGACACTGGGGTACTGGCTTAGACAGTGACTGTCAGCCTTTTTCATGTGATGATGGCACACATACACCAAGGAGTATATGTTTTACCTGTCTGACCAAAAAAATAAGTATAATTTTGATTCATTCACACCAGGTGGCTTTTGTTATATTGGCTGTCATCATTTTTTAATTTGAGAGTCTAAGTGAGACGAGGTCAATGACCCTGACTAGTCAGGTATTGCATGTTTGAAAAATTCGTCCAGCGCCCCAGTCGAAAATTGCTCTCTTAGATCATTGTGACAACTAGCTGTGACAAGTTACTCTTCCTCCAGTTTTGAACTGGCTGTTCAAGAAGACACTATTGGGGAGGAAAAATTATCCTCCACCCTTGAAGTCCTTCTGGCTGGACTAATAATCAAATTAACAGAAGTATTAGTAGGAGAAAAGCACAGTAAAGTCTAGTAACATGTATACATTGGAGAGACCCAGGAACACTGAGTAACTTGCCCAAGTGGTGGAAGCTATCAACCTAAGGACCACCTTCAGCAAGCGGCAGAAGGTGACAGAGAGTCAGTAATGGGAGGTGCCCTGGCAAAGCACAGAAAACGGGGGTAAGGTTGTTAGCAGATTTAAGTCCCTGCCTTTTCCTCTGAGAGCGTAGGCAAGGCAGGTACAGTGATGAAGACCGCCCTTACAAAGCTAATTGGTTTTTTACAAAGTATAACTTACGGGTTTTCAGAGCTTTCCCCAGGTCTGCTGTTTGTTAAAATTAAGCAGCTTGAAATAATCAGTATCCCAAAGTGGCATATTTGGTGTTACAAACTCTGCTCCCCTCCAACACAGAAAGTGGAAATACAGTGCAGAAAAAGTTCAAGCTGGAAATCAAGTGTTGATTGACATGATCATTTGGTGGAAAGGCCTGGCTGTGAGGGCTGTCAGATGAGGCCACCGCATCTGCCAGACATGGTCCTGCTCATCAGAGTGTGCGCTGAGTAGTGCCAGCCACCAGCAGCTCCTTGCGATGGTTGGTGTGTTGCCCACCCTGCCCACACCAGCCAGGCTATTAACTGTTTCTAGGAAGTTCCCTTGGAGAGCCAGGGGACCTGGGGAGGAGACAGAGCAGCTGCTTAACTCCATGTAGGATTGCTTGAGGGGAAGAGTTCAATAGCTTTTTCAAAATCTAGAAAACTGCTGATGTACTGGGTTGAGAGACCAGGGGCTGGGACTAGTAAACATTCTGGATTCATTTTACTGTCTTGGGTCTTTCTCTAAATGATAGGATCAGTTATCCTGACAGGTCCAGATTACCAGGCCCTGCCTTCGCTTTGCTTAGGTAAAGTGCCCAGCGTAGATTGAAGGTACTGCTGTTTTAGGAGGTTGATTCTGCTCCGGGTGATGTCATCACCCAGAAGGCAAGTGTCTTTTGCACTCATGTGGTCCAGTAAAGCTGTGTGAGGTGAGATTGTGGGCATGTTCGCTGGGAGTGCTGCTTTTCTTGTTTGCCACCTGACGTGGAATAATTGGCTGGTTTAGTCGAGTCTCAGGATGGCAGGGAGCAGGCTGACTTCAAGTCTAGAGGTCCGGGGTCCAACACCGATAAGGAAAGTAGGAATCTAGTGCGATGGCAGGGACCACTATAGTGCTGGGCCTTGGGGCCCCTGGAGTTGCGGTTCGCGCCCCGGCAGGGTCCGGCTGCCTACTAGGGGCCCGGCCTTCTGGCTCTGTTGGACTCCAGGTCTCCCGCCTACCCCAGCGCACTGCCAACTGATCTTAGCCTCTGTCACCTCTTCTTCCTGCTTCCCAGCACGCCACAGGGAGAGAGTGGCTGAGCTCCCTCTCTCTCCACCCCCCCAGGGGCTGCCTTGTCCTGCCCCCAGGGCGGGGTGAGCTCCTGTCACTTGCATAGCTGCCCCCTTTCAGCAGGGCCTGCAGTGGGGTTGGGTCACTCAGAAGAGACTGTGGATTGGTAGGTAGGTGCTGTGATTGCCGTTTCCAGAACAGTCTGACTAGACTTTTGCAAAAATAACATATCAATGAGACTTGTTCATCTGTTTATATATATTATATTTTGTCTAAGACACTTTATCAAGGTTTGTACTTTTTGCATTAAAAAATTAGGAATTTTATATTCTTCTAAATTCAGTTATGTATTTATGTATGCTTTTTTAAAAGCAAACATTTATTTGAGCAGAATTTACTGTAGCGGCAGTGAAAATGCCCCTGCAGTCCTCTGGGGTCTCAGTAAGTCATGGCACTGTCGACATCTAGGGCCAGAGACGCCGGGCTGTGGAGGCTGCTCGTGCGCCTGTGCAGTTTTAGCAGCGTTCGTGGTCTGGGCCCACTAGATGCCAGTGGGACGCCGCCCCGGCAGGAACTGTCGTTCGTAAATGTGATACTGTCCGGTCTTTTCTGGGAGACAGAGTTCGC